TGAACTAAAGGACTGATGTTTAGATAGTTAACTTTAGTCTAAGTTATCTCAGTGGGTCTCAAACGTTTTGGTCACCATTAATGTAAACAATTATTTCCGAGTCACACGTTTATATGATCATTATAGTTATAAAAAAATAAGAGAATAAATGAAAAACAGGTATGAAATACTATATGACATTAAAAAAAGAATAAAGTATAAAAGGGTGATTTGTAAAATATCCATAAAGAAATAGTAAATCTGTTTACAGTTCTGTTTCATATGGGTGTTGAGAGATGTATCCATAGGTCTCTTCATTTTGCTCTCAAAGTGCACCAGATTGATGCTTTTAACTTCAATATTTAAAAACAAATCTTCCCGGACGAGCTTGCCCCCGGATCCCCCTATGTGAGGTCCACACACCACCTATAAAAATAGCACTTTACCCCTGCTTACACCTATATGCCGTGAGCTGATTATCGAGCCTTCATTGTAACATTCGCGGGTACACTGTGTATTTGCGTGGGGAGTGTTGCAGTAGAAAATTCCACTGTAGCGCCCGGTACCTTAATGGGAAACCCTAAATGTTTGAGCACCCTCTATGAAACGTCAAGCTACCCCACAGCACCCCAAAATAAATCTCTGGCGCTGCCACTGAGCCTGACTATTTGTGTTGGGGGGGGCCCGACTTTTTTTTTTCTCCAAAGGGGGAGCCTGACAAAAAAGGTTTGAGAACCACTGCCCTAAAGGAATACCCTTTCCGTCCAATGTGAAATGCTGTGGTGTTTTGTGAAATGCTGTGGTGTTTTGTGAAATGCTGTGGTGTTTTGTGGAATGCTGTGGCTGTGTCTTGCACTTCAGGGCCACCGTACCGTATCAAAGTAAAACAAGGCAGCACTCATTTCATCTAACATTAAAATATCATCTGTTCCTCGGCTCATACAGGGAGGTCTCCGGCATTGCAAACAGCTCTATTCTATCATTTGATATGGTTCGCCGTCCCATATTTTACATCTCATTTATCATGTTATACTGGCTGCTAGCTTTTCTTGTCATAAATAGTGGAGGACACTGATATGTTGGATGTATTTGGGAAGGCCAGGCATCTCTTCTCTAATATTACAGAAATGACGCTCTGGGACGTCACCTTTCTGTAACCCTGCAGGGGCTGAGCTGTATTGATAGCAGGAGCAACAGCTCAGAGCAAATTTGATCATTTTTTTTCAGCACGTCGTTCACATTTAGCCACCTGGCACCCAGCTCATGGTTTTAATCCCGGAGATCTACACTTCTCAAGTCAACATTTTAAGGGTCGACTAGCGGGTGTTAATGCGTTTTCAGCTTAGTTGCCTCAGGTGCAAAAACTGAATTGGTGTTGGTTGTTTCCATGCTGGCACATGTTGTACAAATATGTTTTGCTATGATTCATTGGTTTGTCCTCAGCTTGGGTTTCAAAAGCTGTGGCAACAGGATCTCCTCTTGCATACTGTTTACTCATTCCCTTCCTCTTCCTGCACAAACACCTTGCTCTCTTTCTCTAAACTCTATACATTTCTCTGACTTCTAGTCTGCGAGAGGCTGTCCAGGACCAGTCTGTGAAGCCACAACTCCAGTGCCTGATGGTGGATCAATCGTTCTCTATGGTGACCGTTCAGAGCGAGGACAGCGGTATTGTTTGGGAGACGGCCTCTAGTCGCTGCTCTACGCCATGGGCCTCTGAGACCAGCTCCACCTCTGAAGCCTACAGCATGGAGGGGCCTGGAGCCGCGGGAAAGATCACCATCGTCTTTGATGAGGAGAAAGTAATCCGCAGGAGGACGAGGTCCGGAGGAAGGAGCCGTCTGGGGGACAGGCTGAGCCGACCTGGTAGTTCAAGGTCGGCTTCAGTCCTGGGAGTGGAGCGACCTGAGATGGCGGGGGTTTCTCTTCCTAACATTAAAAAGGAGAAAAGCGAAACAGAGCCCGACTTGGAGGAAATCAAAAACAAAGATCAGCAGCTGTTTAGTTTGATTTCAGAGGGTTACGAGATTCTCAACATCAGAGTCCCCTCCAAACTTCCCACTGTGGATGAGGAAGAGAGCACAGAGTTGAAGGACAATTTGTCCTATTTGGACCAGACACCAATGATCAGGTCCCGAAACAACCCTGACTGGACACAGAATCCAGCCCTGCAGGAGGAGGGGGGGGAAGTACTGGATCCCCATGAGGTATGAGTTGATTTATCTTATGTGTTTTATTATTGGGTATCTCAATCCAGCACTAACATGCATTTCGTTTTTGATTGCTATTCAAGTCAAATTCAATCATAAAATACTGTTTAAAACAATGAACTGTCCTCTATAGATGAACTTACTGACTGTGATCTTTTCTCAGCTCTCAAAGCAAGACTCTTCTCAGCTGTCAGAGGACACAGCACACAGACATGCACTCACTCAGAAAGAGAGCACAGTGGACATAGATTACTTCGAGCCGTTCACCATGGTTGATGTGGCGGTTCCTGAGGAAGACGAGCCAGAGCAGCAGGAGGAGGAAGAACAGCCTGCAGCAAAGCCCAACGTCGAGGAGCAAAAGGAGACAGCCACAGACAGCCTGTCTGCATCGGAGGACTCCTTTGACTTTGTTACAGATGTGGATATAGTTGGGGAACACCTGGATGAGGTCTTTTACGGAGAAGGAGCTCCTGCTGACGCGCTGCAGCGGAGCAATGAAGATGAGGCTGAGGGTAGGATGGGAATGAGACTAGAAAGCCAGAGATCTGTGAAGGAGAAAGGCTCTGTGTTGTTTGGGGGTGAAGACACCATCCTCACGCCCATTTTTATCTCCTCTGGACCCCCTAAGATCATCGACCAAATCCTGTTGGATGAGCCCACCGCCATGTCCTTCATGTACTCTGACCTTTACGAGGATGCTGTAGGCGAGAGGACAAGGAGCGACGAGGAACACTCTGAGGCAGAGAGCGTTTCATCTGAGAAGACCTACAGGAGACGCTTTTCAGATTCAGAGGAGGACGGGTACCTGGAGAAGTTTACTTTGAAGGATGACATTCCCTCGGTGGAGGTTCAACCAGAGTCAGAGGAGGGTCAGAAGGAGGGTCAGAAGGAGGGAAGGGTTATATGGTCGCAGAGTAGGTTTGATATGACAGGATGTCTTACAAGAGTGGACAAAGAGGAAGAGAAGGACAAGACGGTTGTTGAAGATAAAAGTGAAGATTTACAATCAGCAACATTTGAAGAGAAAGGAGAAATAGTTGCAGTGGCAGGAAAGGAACAGGAAATACAACTCTCTGCTGTGACTGAAGAGCAGGCTGTCAGAGGAGCTTCAGAGGAAGTGATTCAGGATATTAAACCTGGAGATGATCAGAGGGAGGACCAGGAGGTGAAACATGAGGTAAAAGAAGACCAGATCCAACCTACCGAGAGCCACACTGAAAAACCACTTCCTGAAACTCAACAGGTGGACAGTAAAGTAGAGAAAGCAAAGGGAAGTGAGGAACATGAGACGGATTTGCCGTCAGAAACAACTAGCATTGTTGAAGCCGAGCAGCCGCGTCAGACACGAAAAGGGGTAGAAGAAACAGCTCAGGTGGAGGTAAGCGCTACAGCACCTGGAGACAGTGAGGAGCCTCACATCATCCCTGAGAAGAGTTTGTCTGAGGAGAGTATTGACACTAAGATGGCTGCTGCTAGTGGGAACGTAGAAGCCGAGGCCATAACTGAAAGACAGGAAATGCACACCTCGACTGAAATAGAGACATCTATCTGTGGGAAACAAGAAGCAGCAGAAGGTGTTCCTGAGGACGTTGCACCTGTAGAGGTCCTCGCTGACTGTGATGCTGCAGTACATGCGTTGGTGGAGGTAACTGAAAAGACAGTGGATGAAAAAGAGATCCAAACTCAAGTTCAGATTGATCTTCAGGAATTAACAAGCACTGAGACCAAAGACATTCAAACAGCAGCTCCTGAAGGGGAAGACAGCGCTCTAACAGATGAAACCGCAGTCGAGAGCCAGTCCCCTGAATTAATAATCGATATCGCCGAAGCTGATCAGGAGCCAGAGGTTAAAGCAGAGATTTCAAGTGAAGTAGTAGAACCTGAGAGGCCAGAAGAAGTCAAGATCGATTCACAGGAAACACAGCATGAGTCAAGGCCTGACAGTGAGCTCACACCTGAAGCCAAAGATGAAACAAGCGCTGAGGTAACTGGGAGTGTTGCTCAGGAGAAGGTTAATGTAGATGATGAGTTTATCCTCCTTGTTCCCAAAGGACAAGCTGTAGAGGTGGACATAGAGTTCAGTCAGACATCAGAGAAGTCTACAAGTGATACAGTAGCTCTTTCTGAACCTGACAGCACATGTGAAGCAATAATTGCTCCTGAACCCACTGCAGTATGCCGAGAGACTCTTCAGGCTCCTAATGAAGAAACAACGGCAGAGACTCATCTGGAAGTAAAACAGGAAGTTGCAGAGATAGAAACACTACGCAGAAACGAGTTAGATGCTAAGTACTCTCCTCCAGCACCTGCAGAGGAGCATCCCATAGAATCTGAACCCACCACAACATGCCCAGAGACTCTCCATGAAGAAACAATGACGGAACTGGAAACAAACGTTGCGCAGCAGGAAGATGTTCTACCCAGAAACCAGTTAGACACTACGTACTCTCCTCCAGCAACTACGGAGGAGGGCAACGCAGAGGAGCAGAAGATGGAGTTGGACTTTATAGAAGACGAGGGTGTTGTTTCCACTCTGAGGAGCTTTACTCCCCAGGAAGATTTGTCTGAGCTACAGCCAGAGGAAATACAGACAGAAGCAGCCGATGTAGAACAAAAGGTAGAAATGCCCACAGTGGAAGAGGCCCCAGAAACAAGCCCTGTTAAAGAGGATTTCATTCCAGAAACGGATCTGCACAAAGAGGATGGAGACCAAAAGATCGAGCAAGATGTGGAAGTTGCAGAGGCTCAAGAGGACATTGTTGAGGAGCTTGGATATGAGATCATATCGAAACAGGATGTCAAAAAGATGCCCGAACCTGAGATACACAGAGATGCAGAGGAACCAAAACTGGAGTCTGGTCAGGAGAAAGAACAGAGGATGGAGATGGAGGAGGCGGAGGAGAAAGTCCTTGATGTGTCCCCAGAAGAAGAGGTCATTGAAGCTGATTATGACATCATTGACGCAGAGGAGCAGAGTCAGGCCCAGCTGGCTGCAGAGCTGCAGGGGATGGACTGGTTCTGTCTGACCTGTGGCGGTCTGCTGGCCGAGGACGACTGCAGCTCGGAGGAGCATCACGACCACGAAGTCAGTGCTGTGGACCAGGCCTATGAGGAAATCAAGGTAATGTAGCCTACTGTGTAAATAGGAAAATGTTGTATATTTAACAGCAGTTCACTGCAGAAAATGACGTGTGTGCAGTGACTGCAGCTATACATCTTTAACACAATGGATATTCATCTCTTATACATCTGAGAGTTAACAGTGTGTGGAAAAACTGTTATTGAAGTTTTAAAAACTGTTTATTTAGAGGAAGAGATAAAGATTGACCCCAGTTGTGTAATTAAACTTAAACATAATTGATGTATAACTAGTGGTACAAATAATGAAGACCATCAATAACTACTAAAAGTAAGTCAAATGTATGACTTGTACATACAGTACATGTACAGATTTCCCAGCATCTCCCAGGTTTTTCTGTTTTTTTAACATATTTGCAGGCTGCTACCGCTGAAACAACACAGATGCAGTTCTGATGTCTGATGTTATTAAAGAGCAGCTCATCATCAAATACTCCATCAGCATTATTACAACACAGGGTTATGATCATTGCACACTTTGCTGGCATTAGTTTGAGTCTCTGTAGAATAAAGTAATCCAAAGAGAGTGGGATATAACCTTTTATTAATGCTGGCAGACCTCACGCTGCTGTCAGGCTGCAGCCAAGCACATTGAACTGCCGTGATGTAATGCTCCGCTTTAAAATGGGGAAAGGTCCAGTGGGACATCATAAAGCGGAGACTGATATGTGATCTGTTAACACACACACGCACACACAGACACACACACTATTCTCCCTGACTATCCCTATGGGTCAGCAGGTCAGCACAGGGTCAGCCATTTGCTTTTTAATAGCAATCAAACAAATGTGGGTCTTTTACTAGCCATCGGTCCAGTTTTTAACCTGCAGGTTCATACCTTAAGCCATTTATTCACAGATACAATATATGTATATGTTTTCTATTGTTATTCTGTAATCAGTGAGGATACTTTAGAGAACAAATATGACTTGACGACGTGCATTTGGTAAATAACCACAGCTTTTTGCATCTAAAGATTTAGGAAATTACCTGCAACACATTGAAGATGATCAAATGTCATTTCTAAATTATATTCTAGATGATATTTGAAGCAAATATCAAAGCTTAGTTTGCAATTATGACTTCAGCACCAGGTGTGCAGTCTATTCAGATTTTCCACAAAGGAAGAAACTTGATCAAAGTTTACCTAAAAATGTTGCCAATCTGTTTCCAGTCCAATCCTAAACTAATATGTGCAATGCCCGACTGCTACATCTCTTCAGACATGGATGTGTGCAAGTATGCTCAAACATTCTTCCTCACACATATATACACACAAGTACACAAGTACACACACACACACACACACACACACACACACACACACACACACACACACACACACACACACCTGTCTTTTGACCCTGAGAGGAGTGGCTGTCAGCCTTTAATGTGAGCTGTCAGTGTTTGGGTTGGGATTGCACTGCTGTTTCTCCTAGAATATCCTTCCTTATTATTACTACACTAAAAACTACAGTAGGCAACATTTTACCCAAAATATCAAACTGTTTTATCAGTCTAAAAACAGAAAGCATCCATCTCCTGTTAACTTGGACTGTACAGATCCATTAGATTGCCTTAATACAATTCATACTTTCATACACTTAAGAATCAAGACTCAGTTTGTCATGAAATGTCCCGTCTACAAACTTCAATGAACATATTTTTCTTTCTGATAATATTCATTTGCACATATGTATATTTTCAGTAGTTAATCTGTACTGTAATTATTTCTTGTAGGGGCTTTGAATGGTGCAGGAGTACAGCAGAAGAATGAATACTAATACAAAAAATAGTCTTAGTAAATATTGATAAACAATGAACCAATACAAGAATAATAACAAAACAACAAAAGCTATTTTAATTTAAACGTAATGTAAATGAAAGTATTCTTTTGATTTGGAGTTGTGAACATGTCTATAATCCCAGCTGTATCTTGTTGTCAGACGCTTTGGGATGTAAACATTACATCTTACCCTCACGTGTGTGTTTCATCAGGAGAAGCTGAGCGACTGGATCTCAGAGCTTCAGGGCAGGTCGGAGAACATCGAGGACCTGGTGTCTGAGCTCGAGCTGGCCTACAACTCTGTAGAGGTAAAACAAAGTTACTCAACATTTAATACTAAAAGGTACAATACCTTTTTGGAATATTTAAGATAAGATAAGATGGACCTCTATTGATCCCCTTAGGGAAATTCCGGTGTTATAGTATCAACAGAATAAGAAAGAAACAAAGATAGTACACATGAAAATAATCACAAGGATAATAACATTAATACAAATGCAAATAATATAGAATAAGAATAAACATGTAGTAACTGTATGAATGTACATATATACAGATATGTAGGCTTGGTTAAATATATAAACATTTAAATGTGCAGGTACCAGTGCGGGTGCAATTATTATTAATATTTATTGCAGGTTATTTTTGATGGGTTACACGGTTAACCCTGGTTGTGGAGCCTGATGGCTAAAGGCACATATTGTATTTGCCATTAGACAAATACATATAATACGTCATAATACATAGTATTTCATTTGTAAACATTTGTAAATATAATATCTCTGTTTTCCGACCCTCTTTTCTCGACTAGGACCAGTTTGTGGAAAGCGAGGCCGCGATGCAGGCGCAGAATGAGGGGATGATGGTTCTGGTGATGGAGCAGTACAACAACATGTCTGTCAGCATGGAGGAGGAGAAGAAAGCCAAATTGGAGCAGCTTTACGACCAGATTGTGTCGTTCCAGGAGAGCATCGACTCGGCCAAGGCCACTCTGGAGACCACGGCCCGAGAGGCTGAGACTGACGCCCGGGTGAGTCCTGAAGCTGGTTGATCTGTGGTATCATTTTCCGCCAATGAAGGTTTTTGACATATCTGATAAAACCCTCTTTTATCTGTTTTCCCACCAGTCACCTGATGAAATTCATGCAAGGTAATGTGCTTTTTAGTGAATGGAGGATGAGCTAATGTGGCTTTTTATACCGTTAATACCAACATTTGACTAGAAAGTGATTAACAATACAATCTGCTGCTTGATCTGCAGTCAGAACTTCACTTTAGCTCTGCTCAGGATATACAAAATATATGTTTTGTCATGAGTTGTAGTTGTGGCTAAATGCTGTGGTTGTGTGGTCAGTCTCAAGGCAGCTCTAGACTCAGCCATGTCACTAGAGCTGGGTCCCAAGGGCCTGCTGGTGTTCGAGGATTACGCCAAGGGCAACACTTCCAGCTCTAACCTCGCACAGCGCAAAGGAATCCCAGGTTGGTCTGATGTGAACATATCTCTGCAGATACATCTGACATATTTATTGTGCTTTTCTTTATATATGTAGCAGTTGTGAATGTTGAGTTTCTGTGCTCCTCAGTGCCTCAGAGGCCCACGCTGCAGGCTCAGGAGCCGGGCTCAGCCTCCAGCACCAGCGTCACTGTCTACTGGAAGGTCAACCCTGGAGACATCATAGACTGCTTCCAGGTCTACTGCATGGAGGATCCACAAGGAGGTAAATACGTCCAGGATCGTATTTACACTTGAATATGCTGGCGGAAGTGCTCCCATCTTTTATTTAACACCACCTACTGATGTACCATTTAAACTGATTAACAGACATTAAGTTCATGTATCATTTTCATTAAAATTCTAATTAATTCATACTTTTTGTTAATGGGAAAGTTCAGAAATATGTTCTGCTTATAGATATAAGGATTTTCTTAAGTAGCTAAGCTAGGTCATGATTTCTGGAAATATTTGTGTACGGCTTTGAGCACCATAAGCAAAGGCCCACTGGAGTTCCATTATATTGTAGAGAAAGCAGACAATAGCCAGTGTCTCTAACACTTACATCTCAGCCAAAAAAAATCAAGATGAATAAATTGCACGACACACAGACGGAACATATATGTATTTTCTCTTTTGGTCTTTAACTCCCTCTATTTATTTAGAGTAGGTCAATTTACACAAAACCTATGAAGTCTTACTGACTTTCTGATTTAATCAACACTCTGCATGTGTTGTGTCTGCAGCGGTGTCAGAGGAGTACCGTGTGACGGTGAAGGAGAGTTACTGTGTGCTGGAGGAGCTGGAGCCTGACAAGACCTACAAAGTGTGGGTGATGGCCGTCAACTACACAGGCTGCTCCCTGCCCAGCGAGAGACTCACCTTCAGAACCGGTCAGTACACACTGCAGCTAAAAGTCACAACAACATTGGTCTTTTTTTTACTGGCATTGTGGGCAAGATACTATATGACATTTCTGTTATATTTCTATATTTTTGGGGGTCCAGAAAGACTTTCAAAGGTTAAAGGTCATTTGAAGTTGTCAATGACATCTTGTTCTCTTTGTGGCAGCTCCATCAGTGCCAGTGATCGACACGGAGCGCTGCACTGTCATGTGGGACTCAGCCACGCTGCGATGGAGCTCAACAAATCTGACTCCAGAGCAGAGTTACACCCTGGAGTACTGTCGCCAGTATGAGCTGGAGGGAGAGGGGCTCAGGTGGGTGTACAGATAGGTTCATGTAGATAAAGAGGTGGAAAAGACAGAAATGTGCAATAATACAATAACATATCTGATATGAAAATGTAAGGACATGCAGTTATTTCTGTCTTTCTGCTTAAGCAACACCTGAAATTACCCTAAATTAATATCAATAAAGGCTTAAAGGTGGGGTAGGTAATTCACTTCAGAAACAATTTTTGTTATATTCCATGGAATGCTCTTAACATCCCGATAGCAATGAATATATTAAATGCTTTGACAATAAATACATACATTAAAAAAAAAAAAA